ACTGCATTTGTGCTCGTGGGTGGTTGCCTCAAATTGCCAGCGGCTTCCTGTGTGGGGCCTCACCTGTGGAGCCGTCTGTGCTGGGGGGTGGCTGCCTCAGATTGCCAGTGGTATCTTTCATTGCGTTCACCTGTGGCATGCGGTTTCTCGATGCCAAAGGCACTGCTAGGCCTGTTGGTGTGGGTGTTGCTCATGGTGCCTTCGTATTATGTTATGGGCCCCACTACCCCAGGCGTTACCTTCGCCGTGAATACCGTCACCATTGTCATGGACATTGCTACCCTGTCACCGTGCCATCATTGTACGATTCGAGTGTCTCCACCAGTGCTGTGCTAGGCTACATGACTCTATTAAATGTCTGCTCTCTAGCTAGCAAGGCCTTACTACTTAATTTTTTTCTCGACCACTAGTGTGACCCAGTTCTGTCTAATTGGGACATGGCACAACAGCCAGGACTTTTACCTGCTGAACCAAGTAGCTGGCTCTGATGATAAAAAAAAAGTTGAAAAGGCGCATTCTTCTGGTCGAGGAGGCACTCACCGGCATCCATCATCCTGATCTTAATTACACCCCTCACCTACTCCGGTTTTTCATTCCTTTGAATGGTTGGTCTTTAAGGTAACATGCACAGTGCCTTTTAATCATTATTTTATCGCCCACCTAAATCTAATGCCATATTTTTTACTAAATTTTCAGATTTATTGTCATCTTTATATCATACTTACAATCGGATATTTATTTTAGCATATTTTAATATTCATGTTAATTCTCCGAATTGTTCCTCTGCGAAGGAATTTTTTGCCCTTCTGGATTGTGTTGGTTACTCCCAACATGTAAACTTTTCCATGCACAATCTTGGTCATATTGTAGTGGTGTTATTTCACACAGAAAACTTATTTTCTCCTGTGTCACCTTATTCGTACAGAACTCCTCGCGTTCAACACCACGCGTCTCTGTCGCAACTCCTCCTCTTGTACTGCTTGTCTGGTACGCCCTGCTCGCTCTGCTCGCCTGCTACAATGCCCTCTGCCACCTTCTCCACTGCCAGCCTCTCACTATACATTCCGCTAGATTCTCCACTGCTAGCCTCTCACTTTACACCCCGCTAGCTGCTCTGTTGCTAGCCTTATCTCCCTCACAATTAGGATTCCGCTAGCCTCTCTACTGCTAGCCTTAGCACACACACATTTACGATTCCGCTAGCTTACTATACACTCTCCTAGTATCTCTACTGCTAGCCTTATCTCCCTCACACTTAGGATTCTGCTAGCCTCTCCACTAATAGAAGGCGGACAACGAGTCATCGTCGAGGGCTGTTGGCAGGGCCCGCAACGCCTCGTGCTCCGACCAGTCGATGGAGCAATACGCTGTTTCAAAGCAGCGATGAAATGCCGTCCAGTCGCCCTCGATTACGGAGAATGCGTGGACCTGTGGCAACCGGCGTAATGGAGCTGTACGCACTGTCGGCTAAGTAGATGTGGAGTCCAACGCGGCCGCTGCAATGGCGGGTCCCGTGCCTGCTCGCTCGGACGCGGTCGGCGTTGTTGAAGCGATGTGAAGAGTAGTCGCATCCGTCGCCATCCCCATAGATGTCGTCCGGCCTGCCGCTATCACCATGTTGAACAAGTACGTAACTGCTGCCAGCGTGGTCTCCAAATGTGCAGCAACATTCCACCAACTCCGTCTCGTTGTGCTGGCTGGAGTTTCCTTACGCTCACTCACTTGCCCCGAAGGCAGCCGGTCCTCTGGTTCCGCCGGCTGAGCAACATTCTCGGGTGCCGTGCCAGAGATAACCTCCTAGTCGTTCTCATCGTCGGAAGAGTCGACAGGTAAGTTATTTCTCTTAGCCTTCTTTTCCACTTCGACACCAAATGTAGTGTTGTTATTTCACATGGACAAATGTTTGGCCCTTAAGGTAATGTGCAGAGTGCCTTTTAATAATTATTTCAATTTATCACCCACCAAAATCTAATTCCATATTTTTAACGAAATTTTCAGATTTATTATCATCTTTATATCCTACTTACAATCGGATATGCCTCTTAGCATATTTTAATATTCACGTTGATTCTCCGAACTGTTCCTCTGCGAAGGAATTTTTTTGCCCTCCTGGATTGTGTTGGTTTCTCCTAACATGTAAACTTTTCCACTCACAATCTTGGTCATACTGTAGTGGTGTTATTTCACGCGGGAAACTTATTTTCTCCTGTGTCACTTTATTCGTACAGAACTCGCGTTCAACACCAACATATCTCCGTCGCAACTCCTCCTCTTGTACTGCTCGTCTGCTACGCTCTGCTCGCTGCCTCTCGCTCCACTAGCCGTTTTACGTTGCCCTCTGCCAGCTTCTCCACTTCCAGCCTCTCACTAGACACTCCGTTAGCTTCTCCACTGCTAGCCTCTCACTATACACTCCGCTAGCTTCTCCACTGCTAGCCTCTCACTATACACTCCGCTAGATTCTCCACTTCCAGCCTCTCACTTTACACTCCGCTAGATTCTCCACTTCTAGCCTCTCACTATACACTCCGCTAGATTCTCCACTTCCAGCCTCTCACTATACACTCCGTTAGCTTCTCCACTGCTAGCCTCTCACTATACACTCCGCTAGCTTCTCTGTTGCTAGCCTTATCACACCCATACTTAGGATTCCGCTAGCTTACTATACACTCTGCTAGCTTCTCTACTGCTAGCCTGCCTACCCTCACTCCTCCAACCTCGCCTGTGTCTCCAGCGGGGGATCAGCCAAACACCGCTGGAGAGGACGAGGTGTGGAGAGTGGGGTCCCGGACTTCTCTTGAATTCACTCTTGTCTGCACTCCAACCAACTCAACTCAACTCCTCTGCCTCACATGTTCTCCTTTTTCGATTTAAAGCTTTCGTGACTGCAATGATTCATCTTCTTTGGTTCTTTCGGTAAAGTCACGTAGAATGATAATAAAATAATAAATTGATAAAATAAAATAACACAATAATATTCTCACGACGTTTCGGCCACAACACAAGCGGCCTTCATCAGGTGAAGGGGGCGAGACTGTCTGGTAGGACAGCGCTGGAGTGAAAGAGCCACGTTCAGATACGGCCTTTAAGCTGTGTGAGAGGAACAAAGCGCCTTGACAAAGGAATTAGCATATAATTTAGCATTGAAATGGCTGAATGATTAGCTTGTGACTGGTCACAGAAATAGCTATGTTAAAAGTTAAAGCATACACACCCGCAGAGGCACCCATTGTTAAAGGAATTAGCATAGAATTTAGCATTGAAATAGCTAAGTTAAGGCATACACATCCGCAGAGGCACCCCTTGACAATGGAATTAGCATAGAATTTAGCATTGAGATAGCTGAGTGATTAGCTTGTACCTGCTGCAGAAATAGAGCTTGTACCTGCTGCAGAAATAGCTACGTTAAAGTCAGAGCATACACATTCACCGAGGCCCTTAGTACAAATCAAACAGGAGAATTTAGCATTGAAATAACTAGGCGAATCCAGCATTGAAACAACTGAGTGATTAGCTAGTGACTGGTCACAGAAATGACTACACATCTGAGCTATTCACAGTACTATATAGTGAACCAATAAAAACTAAAATATAAATTACCTTCATGTTATCAATAAACTCCATATTCTCCAATCAGCTAAGCTACCAACAATAAGTCGTTATATATCACAATGCTATATGGCGAAAAAATGGGTGGATTCTTACCCTCAAATTTCAGCACCACGGATAGCTACTGGCCCCGTTCAGACGGACGAGTTCGTCCATGGTCGGAACAGAGGAGGGGGAGAGAGACAGCTGCGAGGCCCTAGTATGCTCCATGTTGTAAAACTATACCATTAACCGTGGTGTGAGAGGTATTAAGAGGCAATGCTGGCGAAAGAGCTGCGGTCTGAAGGTCATCCTAAAGATACAATTAAGTCACTAGCTAATCACTCAGTTGTTTCAATGCTGGATTCGCCTAGTTATTTCAATGCTAAATTCTCCTGTTTGATTTGTACTAAGGGCCTCGGTGAATGTGTATGCTCTGACTTTAACGTAGCTATTTCTGCAGCAGGTACAAGCTCTATTTCTGCAGCAGGTACAAGCTAATCACTCAGCTATCTCAATGCTAAATTCTATGCTAATTCCATTGTCAAGGGGTGCCTCTGCGGATGTGTATGCCTTAACTTAGCTATTTCAATGCTAAATTCTATGCTAATTCCTTTAACAATGGGTGCCTCTGCGGGTGTGTATGCTTTAACTTTTAACATAGCTATTTCTGTGACCAGTCACAAGCTAATCATTCAGCCATTTCAATGCTAAATTATATGCTAATTCCTTTGTCAAGGCGCTTTGTTCCTCTCACACAGCTTAAAGGCCGTATCTGAACGTGGCTCTTTCACTCCAGCGCTGTCCTAACAGACAGTCTCGCCCCCTTCACCTGATGAAGGCCGCTTGTGTTGTGGCCAAAACGTCGTGAGAATATTATTGTGTTATTTTATTTTATCAATTTATTATTTTATTATCATTCTACGTGACTTTACCGAAAGAACCAAAGAAGATGTTCCTCTTTTATCCCTCTACTCATTAAGTGCCCCCAGATGGCCCTCATTAAGCCAGCGTCCTCCCCAGCCTCACGCACGTGTTCTCCCCCACGTGTTCTCCCCCACGTGTTCTCCCCCTCATCGCCACTATCTCTCGCCTCCGTGGCGCCTACTCCGCGTTTGCATTTGCAGCCAGCCAATCACTGCCTCTTTACCTAATTTCTGGCATCTCTCTGTCTGCTGCCACCCAGGCCACCCGCCTGCACCTGCTTATCCTTAGCTGACCTCACTGTCTGCAACCCCGTACATAATGCAACTGCTGTTTGCAAACCCTGCACGCGTTACGCCACTACAATACCATTGATCAAGTTATTATCTAGTTTGCCCACATCAAATTTAAATTTGTACAATGTTGCTGCATCTGATCACTTTGTCATTCTTTTTTAACTTGATTCGCCACTTTTTTTGAACAGAATCACACGTACTATTAAATATAGGAATTTTGCCGAGTCGATTTGGTCATCCTTACCCTCAAATTTTCAGTTTATTTGGAAGACAAGGTTTGTCTTTATCATTCAATACTTTCCAATACTCTTGACTCTTTGGTGCCACTTATCTGCACTCCTTAAAACATTTTGGATACAGCTTGAGCCTAGATGGAGGGATACACGTCTGGAGATTCATCTTCAGATCTGGAAGCAACATCAGTACATATTTTGGGGTGCATTAAACTCGGCAAGGTCTGTACTCTTTACGCTCATTAAGGATGGCTTTAGAAACCAATGCACATTTTATCTACAGTTGCTCAAATATTAAAATCTAATTCTAAATCAATCTCACCTGGTTCAATCATCACATGTAATACGATTCTTGATTTGTTTCATTCCAAAATTGATTCCATTAGGAAAACAAATGAATTGCCCCTCCACTTCTGAATAACATTTAAAAAACCTTCAGATTTGTTCTGGTATTCCTTTGACTGCACTCACTGTGCCGCCCCCATCACACTTCTTTGACGTTGCCTTCAAAGTAAAACCTACGACTTGTTCCCTCGATCCCATTCAAACTTGTGGTGGTATCAGGGTTTCAATGTCATATGTACCCTGGTTGTGTCTATAATGAGTGAATCACTTAGCACCTGTGTGGTACACTGTGCTTTTAAATTGGCTACCGTTATTTCACCACTTAAGAAACCAATCTGAACCCCTGAGAGTCTAGAAAATTATAGACTCAAAGTACAGAATTGATTCTGCTTCTCACATATAATGCCTTGAATGGGTTGGCTCCTAAATAGCTCACTGATCTGCTCAAGTTTTATATACCACTGTGAAAACATAGATCAGCTGATTCTGGTCTCTACTCGTCATTCCAAAGGCAAGACTGTGATGATATTGTTGTTCTGTGGGAGACACGGAGCCATCTGCAGCCAGGCTCCGCGATTGTAGGGATTCCAAGTCTGTATCACTTTTTAAATCACGTCTTCTCACCTATTTGCACTTGAAGACTTTTTCCTGGAACTTAATATTTAAAATACAAATGTATGGTCTAATTGGATTGCTCTGCAATTATTATGCGTTTTCATCATAGTTTCTAATTTTATTAGAATTTCGAGAGTAGTACAGTGAAACCTTGGATTGCGAGTAACTTGGTCTGCGAGTGTTTTTGCAAGACGAGCAAAATTTTTTAAAGTAAATAATAATTCGACAAACGAGCGATGTCTTGCAATACGAGCAGTACGTAGAGTATACGCTTTGTCTACCGAGCGTCACGTGATCACAACTGAGCCAATGGTTCTTCTCTCTCTTACTGCGGGATTGTGGGTAATCATCTCCCATGCTCGGTCTCAGTCGGCGTGCCTCACTCGTATAGTCAACATCCGTGCGAGCGTATCTTGTTTACTATAGTACTATAGTGTTGTGACCACGCGTATACTTTTTACTATAGTGCTATAGTGTTGTGACCACATGTATACTGTTTACTATAGTACTATAGTGTTGTGACCACGTGTATACTTTTTACTATAGTACTATAGTGTTGTGATCACGTGTATACTGTTTACTATAGTATACTGACCACGTGTATACTGTTTACTACAGTACTATAGTGTTGTGACCACGTGTATACTGTTTAAATAATAAACATATATAAAGGTATTTTGTATTAATCATTTTTATATGAATACAGTATTTTTGGATTGTGGAACGAATCATCTGAGTTTCCATTATTTCTTATGGGGAAATTTGCTTTGATATACGAGTGCTTTGGATTACGAGCACGTTTCCGGAACGAATTATGCTCGCAATCCAAGGTTTCACTGTAATTGCTATTCTATTATCTTTCTATTTCGCTAAGATTTTATCTGTACTTGTGAGTGTAGTTTTATGTAAAGCGTTTTGAGAAACTTCAATATGAGAGGTGCTTTATATAATAGAGGTTATTAATACATTCTAGATTTGAAGCTTTCGTGACTGCAAGGATCCATACTTTTTGGTTCTATTCGGTAAAGTCACGTAGGTTATGTTATTAATACATTTTCAATCTACAGATTTTGGTGTACTGCAAAAGAGACAAGAATGGCACATCTTCCTATAAAGTTAACAAAGCAAGACATTTGTACAGAAACCGAAGATCACGAGTATCTTCCTATGCGGGGCCTGGATACATTCTTATACTATAGTGTAAAATGGGTGCTTAGAGAAAAATATGCGGAGATGGTCACTGAGAAGGTAAAGTCACTCATTTTGTGTTCTTTTAGTTTTTCAGAAATGTTTAGACTGTATGTGAGGCATCAAGAAGCTGATCCTGTTATTTGTTCCAAACGATTGAAAGGTTTAAAATATTTGCCTCTACATTTTTTTTACAGTTCTTTTATAATCGCGTAAGTGCCTGTTCAGATCAAACGATCTTTTTAAAGAGCTTGTGAATCCAAATACATATCAACAGAGATCCCAGAGGGTAAACTGTCAAAAAATGCACAAAAAAATAAAATTACGATTGCTGCACCACGCGATCCCTATCACCGCGCTCCCTTGTGCTACTCCTTTTCCTGCGGTATGTTGCCTGTGCTGTTTGCGTTTGCTTGAGGGCATCTCGGCCTGCTTCTGCCAAGCCTTGGCCGCTTCGAGAGACGTGGCAATCTTGAGTCCTGTCGTGCCTTTCGAAACGAGTTAATGATCGTTGCGCTCCTTTGCCCCACTAGCGAAACAACCTCTAAGATCTGATAATTTGCGCATCCAAGGAATGTGGATTTACGAACGCCTCCGGTTCCCTGACTCTTTAACCATTGCTTTTCGAGGATTACGCTGTCTTGCTGATTAAACGGCATTGGGATCCTGATAATTTAAATAAAAGTTTTACTCTCCCACTCCACTGCATTTCTACAGCGGACGTGGTAACATGTAACCCACGTTCTCATTGGCTGTGTGACCTACTTCTCTTGGTGCCCATGTAACATACCAAACACACACCATGACAGCCAAACGTCAGCCCCTTTTTAAAACACAATGTCATCTCCCCTTATGTTCATATGCCCATCATTACACCACAATTTTCATCATCATCCTCAACATCATTACCAGCATCACTTTTGAACGTTGTAATTGTCACAACACAACGATGCCCTGTCTGCAATTCTATCATAAGTTTCTGACTTTCTGCTGACAATTGCAGAGATGTCCACGTGTAAGCGATAGAGTTGCATGTGTAGCGCTGTAAATGGGCTACGTATACTTACCTGCAGCAGCAGACAGGGCCCACCAGGGGCAGTAACTTGGACCGACATGAGGGTCACTACATTCCCCAGCCCCAAAGCAGGGGGGGCTGCGGGGTGTTCTAGGATTTCCCGAGACCTCCCCTGGAACTCTCTGGAAAGGAGGCGTGGCCAGGGGCTGACACACCTGGGGAGATGTATAAAAGCCGGAACTCTGGACGGGTCCGGGGCCAGACCAAAGCCAGAAGACCAGCTAGCCTAGGACCCTGGGACCCCTAGACCCGCTGCCCTTGTAAGGGCCGGGACTCTTTGGGCCAGTGGTGAGACCCTGGGAACCCCCGGGCCCGACGTCCTTATAAGGGCCGGGACCGAGTGGGCCAGTGGTCGGGACCCGTACCTTGGATGGGTCGGGTCAGTGTAGCCTCCCCTAGGTCATTCGTAGCCGGAGGACTTAGAGCCCGTAGCCCAGTGATAGGGTACGCTAGTTCGGAGGCCGTACCTCTCCAGGCAGTAGGTAAAAGGGCCGCCGCCCTTTGTGGAAGACTGTTATTGTTACCGTTATTTGAATAAACGCGTTGCCTCTACAAGTCGTCTCCACTCTCCGTGAATCCACTACACATGCAAGCAAGTTACGCAACTGATTGCTCAGGGTATGGACCCGGCTTAAATAAAATCTCCGGGTGGCAAAAGAAACGTAACCATCAATTTCATGGCTTCACGGGGAATATGTTCAACCTCCCACATGGCAAAAACGTAAGAGCGAAATTGTTATCGTCCCATTGCAATGAAATCTGACCTCACACACAGGATAAGTAATTGCATTTAGAGGGCACTTAAATGCCTCGGCCACTCAAATCACCTTACATCAGTGGCAGCAGTCCCTGTGTGGCACAAGGTGTAAACCGAACGCGCTTTCGAAAAGATGCAAGTTACAGAACTAGGGTTGAATCATGAGGCCACACGTGCACTGCAGCTGTAATTGTCTTCAGCAGGTATCTGCCATACAGTGCCCTAATGAGATCGGGGGCATCAACGTCGCTCTGAGCTTTCTGAAGAAAGTACTGGGCCTCACTTTGGTGTTCGTGCCATCCTCGCACCAAGGTATGTACATTAGCCCACGTGATATTCGTTACATACGACGCACTTGATTCACCGCCATTCTGCTCCGGAAGAGACACATAGACCAAAGCTCGGCTGCATTCTGAATTGAAAACTTAATTCTTTAGAACTGAATTTTAGTTTCGTTGTCCTTCCCTCCGCACCTCTGATTAGCATGGTTGGCTATGTATGGTGTGAAGCAGTGACGTGCGGTGAGGTCAATGGCTGGGAAGGCACTGGCTAGTGTCAGAGCCAGATTCACACACTGAGGGGGGCGTGGCCTCACGGAGGGGGCGTGTCCTCATTGAGGGGGGCGTGTTAGACACGTCCCCCTCAGTGAGGCAGATGTGATAGCTGCCTCCCCTGGTGCTTTTTCATTGCAGTTTCATGACGAGACCAGCAAGCCTAAATATCTTTATTCACATACGTGTAATAAGTTACCTGGAATATGGAAGGTGAGGACATGAAATGAAGGGGTCTACAAACATGACATTGGTGACATACTGAGATAGTAACAGGCACGCGCTTATTGCCCGCACTGCATCCAGATACTGAGGGGTTGCGCAATCAGAGGGGAGGCTGAGCTCATCGCTGCCTCACCTCTCGTCTCTTCCTGTATTTGCAGGGGAGCTCCGTAAATTTGGCGATTTTGACTATAAAAATTGGAATCGTACAGAAATGACATTTATAACACAGATCAGTGGAACAATCTTAATATTTATATTATTTGATTATTCTTTTTTTCATTGGAGTATGACAGGTGAGGCTCTGCCTCCCCTGCCTCCCCTGACCGCACATCCCTGCTGTGAAGGCAGTTCAACATACATAATAACACCATAAACAGCACAGCTAAATGTCAAATGTTAGCAAGGAATGCCAAATCCTGAATGACAAGGTGCACCAGGGCAAGTGTAACACAATAACGAAACACCACAACAACATTTGCCGAGGGTCAGCCATAGTCTGAACAAAAACATTGCTCAGGATTAATTTAATATCGCAACTAATTGCATCTCGTAATCGCCAAGTAGGAAGCGCAGACAAGCTTGGAAAGCTGCCAGGCAGAGATTTGGCACCAACAAATTGCTCTAAAGCCTCGCCTGACTCTCCGCATCTATCTCCCTGGGCTGTGGGCAAGGGAGAATGGATGGGAAAGGGCATAGGGCTTGGGAGTCTGAGCGGCCACCCGACGCTGTCCCTCCGATATCAAACAACATCCCACACACTCGAAGCTTGAGTCTGGCTTAAAGGGGTTTCACTGCGAGAAGTTTTGCGCGCGCCCTCAGAATGAGATGAGAATCGCATGGCGAACCGTGGGCTTCAACGAGAGCGGAACTGCAAAGGAATCGCCGATCTTGCCGATATTGGCCAATTCAAATTAAGGGGGTGTGTCACATCATTGCTCGATCCATTGATCTGAACCGCGCAGTGTATACAACCAGAATACGTCATTAGACCTCCTTTGGTGTGGACCAATCAGTTTCAAGGACAACGCATATATTATCATAGTATGTTTTTTGTTTGCATTTTGACTGCAGGTATTGTGGGTAATGCAGGCATGAATCCTTGTAAAAAGGTTTCAGTTTTGTTGCCAGAAAAAAGGGGGAAAACCCTATAACCAGAATACGCTCAATCGCGGCCATGATAACATCGGACATTAGCACAACATCGGATTATAAGTGTAATAAGCGAGCGCCATCTCCTGCATAATTGAGGGGTTACACTTTACATACTGTCATTACAGTCCACGCCTTATCAGCAGTAGGGTTCTATCTGGAGGGAAGGTTAATGGGCAGAGCTAGCATGGAAGCCTCTGGAACGTTCTCGAAGGTTCCCAGAGGGGCGTGGCCAAAAGGCGGGGCTTAAGCCTCGCAAAAGCGAATATAAGCAGGGGGTAGCGGAAGGCTCGGGCTCGGTGGTTGAAGATCGAAGAGGCGCTCCCCGTCGCTGCTGCCCCGCCATCTCCACCAGCCACGTGGCGGCTCGACCTCCAGCCGCTCCCCAGCACGCCCCGCCAGTCGGCGGTGCGGTTGAGAGCGGGGTGAGCGGCACGTGGCGCGGGGCAAGCGCAGTCACGCCGGAGAGCAACTACGGCATTCGCGCGAACGAGCGGAGTCGTGACTGTGCTAAATATTAAATAAAGTTCTGCCGTGTCGGAGCCACTTATCACATACTAGCGGGAAGTACCCGGCGTTGCCCGGGGGGAAAATATATTTTAAAAATTTCTCAAAACTTAAAAACGTACCATATACAAATGAAAAGAAAACTTAGATCATTACCTCATTAATTAAAATAAAACCGAATGCGCGGTGGAAATAAAAACTTACGCTCACACACCAAGATTCAATTCTTTAAATCTAGAATAGGAATCGAAGGTTGTAGATTTCTTTAGAATCGGCCTATTCCCGTTTAATCGATACCACAAACGCCCACCAGATATCGATTCTCGCCAGTCCTGTATGCGAGTTGATGCCACACACTTCATGGTGATCCCCCCCCCCCAAATACAAAAGTCTATTTTTAAACGTTTTACATTGTGTACAGTATAGGAGCTAGCCACATGGCAAATGTAAAGTTTGTAGCCTATTATATTATACCCATTATTTCCACCCCCCCCAGCCGTCCATTTGTGTGGGATACAGAGCCTACGTGGAGGGTTTGGGGGGGGGGGATATGCGTGACGTCAGCAGGCACACTGCGTAACACTGCCGCATGCGGGTGACATGACGGAGATGTGACGTCACAGCTCACTTGCCGTGCAAAATATATTATTGCCCCCCCCCCAAAAAAAATACAAAAGTCTATTTTTATAATGTTTGCATGGTGTACAATCTGGAAAGTACCCACATGCCAAATTTCAAGTTTGTTGCATGCCGGGAAGTATGCTAAACATTTTGAACAGACGCATATTCACAAATTTCCCTTTTATATGTATAGAAGATGTAGCGATGTAAAGGGGCTGTGTCCATTTACCCCCAGAGCAGGAGGGGGCTGCGGGGTGTTCTAGGATCCCCCGGGACCCTTCCCAATAGGAGGGGGCTACGGGGTGTCCTGGGATCCCCCGGAGCCCCCTCTGGAACTCTCTGGAAGGTAGGCGGAGCCAGGGGCTGACGCACCGGTGCTGTGTATAAAAGCCGGAACCCTGGAAGGGTCTAGAGCCAGTCCAAGACACAAGCCAGAAAACCAGCTAGCTAGAACCCTGGGACCCCTAGCCCCGCTGCCCTTGTAAGGGCCGGGACTCTGTGGGCCAGTGGTCGGGACCCGCACCTTGGCTGGGTCAGGCCAGTGCAGCCTCCCCTAGAGCACTCATAGTCGGAGGACCCAGAGCCCATAGCCCCGTGATAGGGCACACTAGCCCGGAGGCAGTACCTCCCCAGGCAGTTGTTAGAAGGGCCGTTGCACTGTGTAAGGACTGGGCTGTACTGCAGTGTTTGTTTTGAATAAAAGTGTTGCCTCCAAGATTCGTCTCCGACTTCCATAAAACCCACTACACAGCGATTTAACACAGCACTTTGATCGACTATATGAACAAACTACTCATAAAATGTTACGTAAAAATCGCATGTCAATACTTGTTTTGTGTCTGTGAGCCGTCGAATTAAACATAAGATAAAATCATACATTTTCAAGAAGGCTGCCCGATCGACTTGGAGCGTATATGGTCGATCCACAATGACCAAATATAGGCAAAGACATGCCCCCTCGGATAACACCACGCCCACTTCCATATATGAGCAAATCTCTGATCAGTGATTTCGTCAGGGGTGTACGATCTTATCAAGTGACAGCGCCAACCGCTAACCCTGTGTGTGGTCTCTTTTGCAGGTGCTCTTGAAGTTGCCAATGCGGTGTATTATGGTGACATCGTAACTTACACTGAGATGAATGAAGTCAAAGCATACTTTTTAAAAGCACAATTAAAGGTAAGATGCGGCAAACATTCTAGGTTATATTCTTGGTTCTTTCAGTAAAGTCACGTAGAAGGGAAACAATAAAATAATAAAAATATAAAACAATAAAATTCTCACGACGTTTCGACTGCAACACAAACAATCATCATCAGGTGTGAAAACCACAAGAAAATTTGAAAAAGTGGCGGTTATTTTCTTGTTGTGGTTTTCACACCTGATGATGATTGCTTGTGTTGCAGTCGAAACATCATGATAATTTTATTGTTTTATATTTTTATCATTTTATTGTTTCCCTTCTATGTGACTTTACCGAAAGAACCAAGAATATGAATCCCTGCAGTCACGAAAGCTTTAAATCAAAATTCTAGGTTATGTAAAAAAATAGAGATTTGTTTATCTTACCTATAAAAGTCATTCTTTGTGTGTCTGTGTGTGGACGAAACTTGCGTAGGATTTGGCTCGTGAACTGTGGGGGTTTACATTTAAAAACAGCAGCCAGGTACCATAGGCCCCGTGGTGAGCCAGCGCTACTCGATTTTCACATCCGTTAACTTTAAAGTAGTTAAATTAACAATGAAGTGATATTTATTATTCATTTCCTTACGCCACTCAGTGTGTGCCAAAGCACGCATTTGCACATGTGTGACAAAGTCGTGGTTGTCCCGAGCAATGCACATGCGCGATCGGTGGAGTTGGGGAAAAATTCTCATTCGCGTAAAAAATGCAATAAAAATACACAAATTGCTGAAGTAAATTCTTCACAGTGTGATGTCCTCTTCTCCCTCCCCCACCCCAATATGTACAGTTACTACTATAGAGTCGCTAGATGTTACTACTATAGGCCTTAGATATTACTGCAGAGCGGGCGGGGGGATTGTGGTTGGGGGGGAGTAGCAGCCCAGCCCTAGCCTGCCAAGGTGCCACCTCGGCCGGCTGGGCAATCTAGGCGAGGCCGGGGACACTGCAAGGGACTAGGCCTTACCACTACACTCTGTGAAGTTAGTACTATGATAGATTTTGACTTAAAACTTTCGTGACTGCAGGAATTCATATTTTTTGGTTCGTTCAGTAAAGTCACATTGATAGAAAAATAAAAGGCTCTTATTTCCCTCAAAGTTGTTTTTTGTGAGCAGAACAGTGATATTGAGAAATGTAGCTATATTGAAAGAGAAAACGTCTGCATAAGTGTCATTCCCTCGCATAAAGACGTGGTCGCAATAATAGCCATTTTGTGTGTAACAATTTTCAAGTAGCAATTAGTAGTAGGGGAGAAAAATCGTGTTACTTAGATGGTTAATCCCTATCGTTTAATCTTACCTATAAAAGGCATTTTTTGTCTGTGTGTCTATCTGTCTGTCTCTATGTGGACGCAACTTGCGAAGGATTTGGCTCGTGAACTGTTGGGTTTACGCTTATAAAAGGAGCCGGGTGCCATGCCGTAAGCCCTGTGGTGAGCCAGCACCAAATTTTAAGGAGTTAAATGAATAATTTAGTGCTATTTTTCATTATTCAATTATCTCATCGCGCCGTTAAAGCTGCCCGGGGGTTGCCCCTAACAACGCACACGCGTCATTAGGAGAGGGGGGGGGGGATTTCTCATTCGCGTTCAAAATGCTAAAAAAATACACACAACGCTGAGGTAAATTCATCAAAGTGTCATGTCCTTTTCTCTCCCGCCCCCACCCCAATGTGTGCACTTACTACACTAGGGTCGGTAGATACTAATATTATAGCGATTAGATAGTATTATTGTAGCGCGGGTGGGGGGATGGGGGGGGGGGGATAGCGGCCCAGCCCCCAACCTGCCAAGGTGCCACTTCGGCCGGCTGGGCAATCTAGGCGAGGCCAGGGGCTCTGTATGGGACTAGGCCTCACCACGCCACTCTGTCAGGTGAGTACTTTGTGCCATAGAGTCGATATATACGCTATGGAGTCAGCATGTACTACTGTAGTGATAGCAGGAACCACCACAGTCAGTATGCACTGCTGTTATCATAGCAGGTACCACCACAGTATGCGCTGCTGTAATCATAGCAGGTACCACCACAGTCAGTATACACTGCTATAATCATAGCAGGTACCACCACAGTCAGTATGCACTGCTGTAATCATAGCAGGTACCACCACAGTCAGTATGCACTGCTGTAATCATAGCAGGTACCACTATAGTCAGTATGCACTGCTGTAATCATAACAGGTACCACTATAGTTAGTATGCACTGCTGTAATCATTGCAGGTGCTACACAGTCAATATGCACTGCTGTAGTGAAAGCAGGTACCACCACAGTATGCACTGCTGTAATCATAGCAGGCACCACCATGGTCAGTATGCACTGCTGTAATCATAGCAGGTACCACCACAGTCAGTATGCACTGCTTTCTGCCCCGCCTCCCCCCCCCCCCACTTCTCTCTCCCCCCCTCCAGCCGATCTCTCCAATGCTGCCGCGGTGTTCCACTTTACTCCAGTGACCCGAGTGCTGCTGCGGGGTCCACTTTCTGGCCCGCCTCCTCCCCACCCCCCTTCTCTCTCTCCCCCCCTACTGCCGAGGCCTATTTTACCTCGTGCCACGGCAGATCTCTCGCCTACTTCAGTTTTTTTCTTTCTGTGGTTGTCCCACCTGATGACGATTGCTTGTAAACCATCGAAACGTCGTGATCTATTATTATTTTTCTACCTACGTGACTTTACCGAAAGAACCAAAGAGTATGGATTCCTGCAGTCACGAAAGCTTCAAATCAAGATTTATACTAAATGACAACCGTTGTGGGGATCGGAACTCACATCTGTGTCGCCATCAACTGAGCCTAATGCGCTACTCGGCCATCATGCAATGCTGTGTGGATTTATATGCTGGATAAATAGGACTATATCTCTCAGATGTTGTACAGAAACAATGGGTAATACTTTATTCTTGAGGTTAGACAGTCACAGGCAGAGAGGCTGGAATTGGACAGGTTTTTAAGCGAGGTGTAAGACTGGTATAATTCCTGTAAACGTATGCTTTTTTGTAACTCTAATTACACTGAATAGTAAGTAATGTTTGAACCCACAAACATTGATTCACAATTTTTTTTCCCTTTTGTTAGCAGTCAGCGGTCCTTATTCTGGACTGCAGGATTGAAAATGAAGCCTTCTGGAAGCAAGCTTGCAAATTAGTGAAGGTGAATAGTCGTGTAACAGTAGATCACGCACCAGCTGTTTACAAACTGACTCGTACTATGACGGTCAGACACAATGCATTTTCGTGTTAACGTAACTCGGTAAAATCAGTGACTGAAAGTTTTGGTAATGCAAACAGTGATTATACCGAGACCGAATAGTGATTCTGCCAATATTCAAATATAGATAATCTAATCATATCCTTATCTATACTATCTGATATAATACTCCCATTATCTGTGCCCTTTAATACCTATTCATCCCTGTGGTAAAAGGGTTAATTTGCATTGATAAATGTGGATATAGGATCTGACACTCCAGTCTGCTGCATCGCCCAGATAAGAGGAGTTTCACTGCATTCGTAACAATACGACCACGGTAAGGTGCACGATGGACTTTTATTCAAAATTATATCGTGGTATCTTGCAAGTATATTTACCACGAAGGCCTATTTTCTGAAACGTCACCTATTGTATATTTTTCTCATTTAAAGCATTGCTATTGACGAATGTCTTTATATATTTTGTGTTGTTAATTGCGCTTCTTGCACCAACTGCCAAAGCATCATCACCAAATAATGAATTACATTACAGGATTACCGAATCATTCCCTTGCTGCTGATGGCATGGGTTCCAGTGAGAGACAATGTTGCTGCTCCATTGCATGCCTTCCTGGATGGAGGTCTCGAGGTCATTGTGCTGCAAAGCTTCCAACATCTACTGCGCCTCAACGGTAAACATAATCCACTGTAACGCTGTCGGGTTGATTGGTGGTGATCAAAATGAGTACGTGGTAAGGTGTGCCAACAGTTCAGGGATAAAGGTGACCAAGAATTGTTGGTGCTACCCATACCACCCTTCACATTTTCTGTGCTCGCCTTAAAACCTGATTTGTTTTGCTTGTTTGCCCACCTGTGCGAGCTGCACGGCAAAATCAGTGGAGGTATTTTTTTTGTTTTGTTTATCCTTGTGGTTGTACAGAAGACGGAGCCGCTCTGCTTCTCGGCATCACGGCAGACGCACATGGCCGAACTGTGCTCCAGAGCCAACTTGAGAGTGTCACTCGCTGCCTGTGGGGGCCTCCACCAAACCACGGCGCCCGCGTCGTCGCCAAACTGCTGCAGCACCTGGACAGCCACAACGGGCCCAGCGTGGGCCCCGCGGAGCTGTACCAAAGCAGCTCTGTACACGGCAACAAGATTCGGCGTGAAGAGGCACGGGCGATTTCTACTTTAAATAAATGACTAAATGCGGGGGGAGGGGGGGCTGGGGGAGGGATCCCCGTTATTGGCCAGGGTTAGGGAATGGAAAGTTGCTACTTAAAACGAAACGATGTATAAAGGGGGAATTTTCCCCCCGTAAGAATAATGAGAAATGGGTGGAGGGGGGGTGTGTGAGTGGATAAGGACCATGAGAGCGTAAACATTAATAAAGTATGAAAGCTTTCGTGACTGCATAAAATTACTCATTGGTTTTTTCGGTAAAGTTACATATGTAGAAATACAATAAAATTATGTTAAAACAAAAAACAATCACGACGTTTCGATCACAACGCAAGCGATCTTCATCAGGTGTCAAGAACAAATCACAGAGGTAAATACAACAAAAAGATGAGAGACGAGAATTCAACAAACCTGAAAAAACATGTGAAGCACATCCAGTCAGGCCAACAACACAGACACTTCCTGGCGGACCACGAATTTCAGAAGAGTGTTAAATTTCGTGTTCAACCTTTGGATTGCACATACCAGCATAGAATGAAAAATACGAGGTACACGGTCAGTAGAAATACATATACAAGTCCACCAAGAGGTAAGGAGGGAGGAAAGACGGACAGGGAGGCAGAGAGAGAGGGGGGGGGCGGAGGGATGAACAAGCTTAAATAGGAAATACGGTTGGAGGGGGGGAGGGGCCAGAGCGAGAGCGGCAGCTCAAACACGCACATCTTACACATACAAAACGGCAGCTCAAAAAAGGACCACCTCTTGTAAATACAAAACAGAAGCTCAAAAAATGACCACCTCTTGTAACTACAAAACGGCAGCTCAAAAAAGGGCACATCTTACACATAATTACAATGGTAACTTCCCCGTAGAAGTGTGATAATAAAGTATTAAAGCTGTCGTGACTGCATAAAATTACTCATTGTTTTTTTCGGTAAAGTCACGTATGTAGAAATACAATAAAATTATATTGAAACATAAAACAATCACGACGTTTCGATCACAACGCAAACGATCTTCAGCAGGTGTCAAGAACAAATCACGGAGGTAAATACAACAAAAAGATGAGATACGAGAATTCAACAAACCTGAAAAACATGTGAAGCACATCCAGTCAAGCCAACAACACAGACACTTCCTGGCGGACCACGAATTTCAGAAGAGTGTTAAATTTCGTGTTGAACCTTTGGATTGCACATACCAGCATAGATAGAATGAAAAATACGAGGTACATGGTCAGTAGAAATACATATACAATTCCACCAAGAGGTAAGGAGGGAGGAAAGACGGACAGGGAGGCAGAGAGAGAGGGGGGGGGGGGGCGGAGGCATGAACAGAAGCTTAAATAGGAAATACGGTTGGAGGGCGGGAGGGGCCAGAGCGAGAGTGGCAGCTCAAATACGCACATCTTACACATACAAAACGGCAGCTCAAAAAAGGACCACCTCTTGTAAATACAAAACGGCAGCTCAAAAAATGACCACCTCTTATAAATACAAAACGGCAGCTCAAAAAGGGCACATCTTACACGTAATTACAATGGTAACTTCCCCGTAGAAGTGTGATAATTAAGTATTAAAGTTTTCGTAACTGCATAAAATTACTCATTGTTTTTTTCGGTAAAGTCACGTATGTACAAATACAATGAAATTATATTTAAACAAAAAACAATCGCAACGTTTCGATCACAACGCAAGCAATCTTCATCCGGTGTCAAGAACAAATCACGGAGGTAAATACAACAAAAAGATGAGATACGAGAATTCAACAAACCTGAAAAAACATTATGTGAAGCACATCCAGTCAGGCCAACAACACAGTTAGACACTTCCTGGCGGACCACGAATTTCAGAAGAGTGTTAAATTTCGTGTTGAACCTTTGGATTGCACATGCCAGCATAGAATGAAAAATACGAGGTACATGGTCAGTAGAAATACATATACAAGTCCACCAAGAGGTAAGGAGGGAGGAAAGACGGACAGGGAGGCAGAGAGAGAGGGGGGGGGGCGGAGGGATGAACAGAAGCTTAAATAGAAATACGGTTGGAGGGGGGGAGGGGCCAGAGCGAGAGCGGCAGCTCAAACACGCACATCTTACACATACAAAACGGCAGCTCAAAAAAGGACCACCTCTTGTAAATACCGTGTACCTCGTATTTTTCATTCTATCTATGCTGGTATGTGCAATCCAAAGGTTGAACACGAAATTTAACACTCTTCTGAAATTCGTGGTCCGCCAGGAAGTGTCTAACTGTGTTGTTGGCCTGACTGGATGTGCTTCACATAATGTTTTTTCAGGTTTGTTGAATTCTCGTCTGTCATCTTTTTGTTGTATTTACCTCCGTGATTTGTTCTTGACACCTGATGAAGATCGCTTGCGTTGTGATCGAAACATCGTGATTGTTTTTGTTCTAATATCATTTTATTGTATTTCAACATAAGTGACTTTACCGAAAAAACCAATGAGCGTAAACATTGCCTATGCAACGCAAAGCGGGGCAATTTCTCCCATAAGAGAATGGAATAAGGTAAGGATAGGCACCGTAACTTAGGGAATGTTGTTTCATACCTAGCAACCAAAATATCTGTACTATACTGTACAATGCACACATTTATAACAAATTCTGATTTCAAGCACCTTTAAACAGCATTTATACTTTCCAAACACTTAATTGAAAACCATTTTTGAGCATTTCGAAGCAGTCCTGTACATTTTAAAAGTTTTCATTTTTCATAGAAAAATATATTTTAGTGTAAAAAGAGCACAGAATCTTAAACAGCATTTTTAAATGTTACCTTAACCTGTCAGTTTTACGATCTCACCTTGAGGAGTGGATGAGAAGAGGCAGCAGACAGGATTCTGGGGATACATCTAAGATGGCGGCGCACGAGCGAACCACGAGCTGTACTTTTTCTATACTAAAGCTGAACCGAGTCGAAAACGTCGTGTAACATCATAAGTACGGGGAAATTGTACATTGGATTCCCGAAAAGTGTGAAGCATATGTCGCGACTCAGCATCTAAATGTGTATCACTTATCGTGTGTTGCCCACAGGGCACCGACAACCCTAGACGTTAATGGGTATCCGGGGTACCGAACTCAAATTTGCTATCGGCCGGCGGCGGCTGTCAAACCGGGCAGTGGCCGGAATGGGTCGCGTAAATGTCAACTGCTCACCGGGGGCTAGAGAGAGGGAGGTGGCGTAAGGGGAGTGACTGGGGCAGATTGTTTCAGAAAGATGGAGAATGTTTGGTAGAATGATGGAATTGTTATAAGAGGAGAACACAGAGGAGGGTAGGCTGCTCTCAGAGGAGAAAGTGCTGTGTGACGAGAAAGCTGGGAAAATATGCTATTCACTTTTTTTCCTGGCAAGGCCCACTGAGCTACATAGCTCTTTTTCAGAAGCGACCTGGCCATAAATAATACCTCAACGAAGTGCCTTATCACGTGGAAATGTATATCAGCCAAATACTCCATAAAAGCGTGTAATTGATTCTAAATGTGGAGGCAAAAACCGGAGGACCCGAAGAAAAATCCACGTGATCGCGAAGAGAACATGCGGACTCCAAATTTACAGGCCGCTTTGCAAGTACAATATCTTCTTCGCAGTTGCGAATAAGACATGCGTGTTAGGCTTCATGAAATGAAAGTTAAAATAGTGGACATCTTGATCTTTTCTCTTGACAGATTTGCAGGCCACATAGTATCAATAACTTTAACACATTTCAGCACTCTTTTCGTGTTTTCAAACACTGGATGACTGAAGTTTTGAGCACATTTGTGGTAAACAGTTGTTTCTATTCACATTTCTATTCACTCAGGCTTAGTATTCAGCTGCGAGACTTTATTAAAGCCATTTTTCATCAAATGTTTGTTTCTTTGAATGCCGATTTAGTTTGAACTTTCTTTGGAGCCGGAGGATACATACAAAACAAATCACCCAATGTACTTTGATTTCTTTTACATTTTGATTTGAGCCACAAACCTAAAGTCATAGAAAAAAATAGAATTTTATGGACGTGCATATAACAATCATTTATATAATGGGAAAGGTAAAAAAATAAATTCAAATTAGCTAACAAGAATGGCAGTGTATTAAAGTAGGCCTAAAACAACATTCGCTATTAAAGTAAATGCAAAAATGAAAACGTCTTCCCAATTTCGACAAAGTAAATAAATCAGACATTAATAAGGAAGAATACATACCCTCAGCAAGTGAAGAAGATCCTGCTATGAAAGAATGTAGATACACCTCGTGGTGATACGCACCTTCGCGTCTATTAAAACAACAATGAAGTGACGTCACTCATATACACGTAGCCGATTGGAGGGGGTGTCTCGGAGATTATTTAAAGGGCTGTATGAATAATCCCACGTGTACCCGGGCGAGTCCACCGTCGCTCACCGCGGACACACGCTAAACAAAGGCCGTATAGATAATCTCACGTGTACGCCGCCCGTTCACCTCACGCACACGTTAACCATGAGCTAAACGCATGGGCGAGCGTAAACACGTGGGTAAATACGCACTCGCGTGCAAACACAGGGTACAACGACGCAGGAACCCTGGTCGGGCGCGCACACAATGGCCGCCTCAACAGAGTTACCCGCGCGCAAATCTCCGTACCACGACGATCGGACTCACACCACCATGTGCTCGTTCCACACTCGCAGAAACCACACGACAAGGTTTATTGATAACCAACAGTTTATTCTCGGCGAGTCCGAGGCTAAATATTACGTAGCCCGGAGTCAATATTAGTAGAGTAACTAACCTATTCCCGATGGTCTAAGACCCAGTCTGTCCCATCTATTTCGAATTAACCTCCCTAGGCTTTTACGCTTAAATCCCAACTCTCTCTTTCATACTCACGGTTTGCGTCGGATGCGCGGGCCGTCGAGGAGAGACGAGGCTGCACGAAGTTCTGGCTGGGAGTGGGGCTTGGCTTCGCTGAGACTCGTCACACGGACGACCCAGTGGCCGGCAAGCTGACTGCTCCGATGGCTGACTTGAGAACGCGAACTGCCCATCGTCGCTCTTCTCTCCCATTTTATCCTTCTCTACATCAAAGGTTTGCCCGGCTAACCCGCGATACCCCACCGCCATTGGTGTGCCCGCCTCGGTGCCTTCACCGATGTCCGCTTCCCTCTCTAACCCATCAACGGGGGCCGCCGCTGGGCCATTGCCATTGGCCACGGCGTGCAAGCATACTTTTCTGGCCAATCAGATGCTTCCCCTGGTGCTCATGTGGACCTAACTGTGGTGACTGAATAACCTCGTCGTGACCATGCAATTGCACGTCA